TAGGTAGGTACCCGGACGGGTAAGTAGGTAGGTACCCGGACGGGTAAGTAGGTAGGTAGGTACCCGGACAGTTAAGTAGGTAGGTAGGTACCCGGACAGGTAAGTAGGTAGGTAGGTACCCTCACAGGTAAGTAGGTAGGTAGGTACCCGGATGGGTAGGTAGGTACCTGGACGGGTAAGTAGGTAGGTAGGTACCCGGACGGGTAAGTAGGTAGGTACCCGGACTGGTAAGTAGGTAGGTAGGTACCCGGATGGGTAGGTAGGTAGGTAGGTACCCGGATGGGTAGGTAGGTACCCGGATGGGTAAGTAGGTAGGTAGGTACCCGGATGGGTAGGTAGGTACCCGGACAGGTAGGTAGGTACCCGGACAGGTAGGTAGGTACCCGGACAGGTAGGTAGGTACCCGGACGGGTAGGTAGGTACCCGGATGGGCAGGTAGGTACCCGGATGGGTAGGTAGGTACCCGGCCAGGTAGGTAGGTAGCCGGATGGGTAGGTAGGTACCCGGACGGGTAAGTAGGTAGGTACCCGGACGGGTAAGTAGGTAGGTAGGTACCCGGATGGGTAGGTAGGTACCCGGATGGGTAGGTAGGTACCCAGACAGGTAGGTAGGTACCCGGACGGGTAGGTAGGTACCCGGATGGGTAGGTAGGTACCCGGATGGGTAGGTAGGTACCCGGCCAGGTAGGTAGGTACCCGGATGGGTAGGTAGGTACCCGGACGGGTAAGTAGGTAGATAGGTACCCGGACGGGTAAGTAGGTAGGTACCCGGATAGGTAAGTAGGTAGGTAGGTACCCGGACAGGTAAGTAGGTAGGTAGGTACCCGGATGGGTAGGTAGGTACCCGAACGGGTAAGTAGGTAGGTAGGTACCCGGACGGGTAAGTAGGTAGGTAGGTACCCGGACGGGTAAGTAGGTAGGTACCCGGACGGGTAGGTAGGTAGGTAGATACCTGTACGGGTAGGTAGGTAGGTACCCGGACGGGTAGGTAGGTATTTAGGTACCCGGACGGGTAGGTAGGTAGGTACCTACCCGAACAGGTAGAAAGGTACCTATCTGAACAGGTAGAAAGGTACCTATCTGAATAGATAGAGAGCTTCCTGAATAGTCAGAAAAGTACCTATTCAAAAGGGTATATAAAGCCTGAACCTACTGTAGAGAACCCGACACTGCTCCGGACCCCATGCAACTGTTCCAGGTCCCCCGAAAAGATTCCGGCACCTATGTAGTGAATCTTCCTTCCCAACAGTAAAGAAAAAAATATCCTTTAAACACGCACACACACACTTAACTGCTGGCACTCCACTCATGTCAGTACCACTTGGAAGTGTCACATGGTTAGCCTTCATGTCTATTATGTTCAGGCCTGTTGTCTATTTGGGCCTAGTCCATCAGTGATGGAGTGTGGCTTCCTCTCTGATGCCTTGTTCACCTGACCCCTAACTACACACAGTTAATTGCCTCTCTCTTTAACACTTCCTCTTTTTTAAACTTTTCGAGAATTAATCAGTTTTTTTATTACTCGCTATATCTCCAGACTCACAGAGGGAAGACAAACTTTTTAAGTTCGAAAATGGAACATTTAATGAATAAATATGCCCAGGAAAGCTTTGGTCCCAAGGGTAAATTGCCTTACCTTTATATATTATGATCGAAGTGGCTTAAACGCGCTAATCATATCCTCTCATCTATTTATTATCTAATACCTTGAACCAAATACACCTGTCTTTTCTGGTATGGAAATAAACCCTCATTTAAACATTTATATTATCTACCTAAAAGTAGATATATTTTCTTGGTAGATAGATACCCACAAGTAGATGTATCTTATCTATCCATGAGTACGGTAAATCAGTACACGGTTAATCATTCAACAGCATTCAAATCCTGGTAGATATATATGTAATATAATTAATGACATATCTATCATCATAAAATTCTCTTGACAGATGTGTATTAATAACACTTACCAGTATTAAAACACTTCACCTGGTCCTAACACCACATATAAATACATATGCATATGAACGAGTATCACTCAGATACTCTAAAAATGATTTAATTAATTAATAATTAAAACATTAATAACACGTGTCTAACTCAACAAGACTAACTTGTTTAGCTAAATGAATTGTGAGGTCTAGTCCCTGAGCCCATTATGTGCTTCTGTAACCCTTTCCGCTACTGCCCACAAGATGGGTATGGGGTGTATAATAAACGAACTAAACTAAACTTGGGTCATTTGCCACATTCACTCTGGTACCTCTGGCAACTCCGTCGCCTCTTCGTGGATAGGGCTGGATAACACGTTCAATATCCTCCCAGCTAGTATAAGGTATATTGCCGAAACAACCGTGGACATCTTCAAGATAAAACTTGATCGTTTTCTTCAAGAAGTGCCGGACCAACCTGGCTGTGGTGGGTATGTGGGCCTGCGGGCCGCTCCAAGCAACAGCCTGTTGGCCCAAGCTCTCACTAGTCAAGCCTGGCCTCGGGCCAGGCTTGGGGAGTAGAAGAACTCCCAGAACCCCATCAAGCAGGTATCATGCAGAATGGACCTAAATTTTAAAATATCTCAATAGAACACAATATAAAATCTGTCGCCTTTCGTTGCGTCATTCACATGCACTTTCAAACGATGTGCAAGGCCTTGAGAAATACGATATACGTCTCAGGTGGATCTCTAGTGGATTGTATCCTCTTCGCTTGGATTTATCCACTCCAGCTATTCAGATGCATCGTGTCGTACCCGCCACGAATTCGCTGGGTTCATTCCAGACTTGCAATCTGGAATTCTGAGTACGAATCCCAGGTGGGACAGAAATGGTTGGGCGCGTTTCCAATCGCCCAATTCACCTAGCAGTAAATAGGTACTCAGGAGTTAGCCAGCATGTTGTGTGACGACCCCCGGCTCCCCAGCTATCCTGGGGAGCCGGAGGGGGGGGGGGTCGTCAGTAATTCGACCTTGTGGGGGTGGGGGAGGAGAGGTACCTCGATATCAGCCTGAAACATGAATATATATACACTGGCTGTCTGTCCCCCGATGCAATGACCCGTTAAAGCCTCCCAGAGACAGGAACATACTATCCTCGACCCGTGGGGCGTCATCTGCTACAAAGATGGAGAGGGGGAGGCGTTATCTCTTCCCTCGAGTGATAATCATACTCATTTCTGGCTGTATGAATCATATAGCGGCCACTCTCACTCCAGAAGTGTGGGCTTCATATACAGGTGCCCTTCGTATAGGCGCATCTCAACTGCTTCGTCTCCCAGCGGGCACGACCCATTGTGGGTTCAAAAGGGCTTCTTCCACCACCAGCAACACGCCAGCCTCGTCTGCCAACCTTCTTAACTTGCACGAATGCACTGAGGGGGTATTTAGAGATGCAGTACCCGATCTTCACTCTCCTGCTGATTTGCCTGTCAACTTTCTAACAGTCCATGAAACGGTTCGCATCGTTGTAGGCCAAACCTGGCAGAAAAGTTGACTAGCACTGGTAACACAGTTACCTCTGATGCTGTCCACCACTTGACTGAGCTCCGAACCAATCACAGAGCTTCACCCTTGTCCACGTCACAGCCGAACGTCTCCCGATTGGCTACCGGTGACGTCATCCCCCTTTCTATGTGTAATGTGCCTTATCGCCATGTTCTGGATATATCTGACCATAATGTTTTTGACATAAATATTTCCCCATAATATAACGCCTCAATTGCTTCTCCAAATATATAAACGCATCTTTAGTGTCAAGATGCATCTGAGGAGTAACTCATAGGTAGAGCAACGGTCTCCCTTTATGCAGGTCGGCGTTCATTCCCCGACCGTCCACAAGTGGTTGGGCACCATTCCTTCCCTCCGTACTATCCCAAAATCCTTATCTTCCTATCCCTTCCAAGTGCTATATAGTCGTAATGGCCTAGTGCTTTCTCCTGATAAGTACCTGACCTTTTCACATAGATGAGGACGAACGTTAAAACGGACTCAAGGTTCATACCAGCACTATTCAATAGTGTCTGGAACTGTTCTATAATTTCCTGAAGCGTTTTCTAAGGTACCTACACTCTTCCTGAGTGCCTGCTCGCTGTTGCAAAAAACCCTGACACAGAACCTATGGAACCGCCTACCCACAGAAGCTGTAAATGCCAACACACTGCTGAATTTTAAAATCCAGCTTGAAAAAAACATGAGGACGAATAGGGGGGAGGGGATCTTTGACAAGCCGCCGACTTCCTGTCCTCGCCGAGGCCACTAGAGAAATAGTGGCTCTTGGGGAAAATACTTCAGAGCACCTGTCACTCTTCCCGAGTGCCTGGTCCTGCTTTAAGTCCTAATATTACTTTAGAGTACACGCAGCTCATCTAGACTGTCGCTGTTTCACAGCACCTAGCACAGCACTCTAGAACTGGTTCTAGAGTAGTCCAGAGTGGCTGCCACTGTTCTAGAAGCCTATAACTGCTCTATTCTATAACTCTAGAACTAATCAACAAAGAGATTGACACCACCGTCAACTCTGTTAAAGTTCAGTTGGTAAAAAATAAATCCTGTATACAGCAATATTCACCAAGAGCTGTACCATACATACCAGCATTATCCTCACCCAAACAAAGACTTAAGTAATTTCCTCAGATTAGGCAAAATTGTAATTACATTCTGTCAATAAAGATGTTAATAATAATAACCATACGACCCACAATGACGCGCTAAATCCCACTTAAAGATGGTATATTGCACACTATATCAAAATGACACTTGAAATAACCAGTATATCTACCTATAAATATGGATTATGAATATCATGGGTAACCCATTCTCACCACAAAGTACCAAGATAAGTTGAACAGACCACACACACTAGAAAGTGAAGGGACGACGACGTTTCGGTCCATTCTCAAGTCGATTGTGAGAATGGTCCAGGACGGACCGAAACGTCGTCGTCCCCTGACTTTCTAGTGTGTGGTCTGGTCAGTTCAAGGCCCAGAGAGGGCGAGCTGCTGACCTACCTGAAGGTACCGGAGTTGGAGGGCCGCCGGGGCCAGGGAGATTACTTCTGCAGCCTCTTTCAGGGCGCGGGAAGCCTTCTGCTCTCCCTCTGCGGCAATCACCTGTAAGGCAACACCGGTCAGACATGTGACATTTGTACGTGTAACTTACATTTTGTTATTGTTTTATTCAAGTTCAAGTTCAAGTATGTTTATTGAGATAAGCAATAAATACATCTCAAAGGGTTAGAGTAGCTTAGGCTATTTCTACCCCCCATTGTTTTATTAATGTTATTATAACTTACCCAAAATACTAGGCGTGTTAGTACGTATCTAAACCTACCAGAGGACCCAAAACAGAAAACGGGAGAGTATGTCAATTTCGCGAGCCGCTACTATTTTTCTAGTACGCCGATTTTTGGCCTTAGGTGGAGTATACGTCAAAATGCGATGCTCTCTATTAGGAGGCGGTTTACAGGACGCAAACCATTGAAAAAAATCATCAGGACAAATGGGAAGGTACTTTGACAAGCCCCCGGCTTCCTGTCCACGTCGAGGCCACATGTTATGTTAGTGGCCCGCAGGTTAAATCAGGTAAATTATTTATGAAGTTTACAAACTGCCAAATTATATTTACTGGTATACAGAGCATCGTGTATTACTAGTTATTTAGCAGGTACAACAGTCGTACATTGTATGACAACATTAATTACGTACAGTACATACTTTTGGCCATAAATTAAAATAATGAGAGAATTTAGGTTTAAATTTACTGCGGTAACGCCTAATGCATCATGAGCAGTGCGCTAACATAAATTGTACGAATTAAAACAAAAAATTAGCAAATTATATATATTTATTGAAAGCGATGCTGCACGTTGAAAATCATAGCCTACTTTATTTTAGAAGCGATAGCTTTAGAGGTAACTGCATCTTTATTGATATAATTTTTATTTATTCATCTACAAGATGATACAATGGGTTGTTAAGATGATAAAGGTGTTTGTGTGGGAGTAATAACTTCGTGCAAGACCAGATACTGAATTTAATATTCACGATAATTAACAAATTGAATGATTTAGAATGAAGAAATGCGTGAAAAAAATATTGTTACATCACACACTTAGGAATGTCTTAGTTTGTGTTAAGTTGGTGGCGAGACCATTTTCTTGCTTTGTATTTTAGCTTTGGTTAAGTTGCACTCTTGGAATATCAAAATAGATGTTTCTAACTCGTGTGGTGCCTTGAGTTCTGTTACAGCCCTCTAGGAAGCACTTAAGATCATAATTAGCACTGCACTTTACTTTGACTGACATAGAACACATTTGAGTGTGTTTGTAGCTTTATATTTAATGTCTAAAGAATTCAGGAGGCCTGGTTGAGGAGACAGGGCCGTGGGGACGCTAAGCTCCGAAACCATCTCAAGGTAACTTCGAGGATCTCAAGGGTGCTCAAAGCTGTTTAAGACTGACGTTTGCTATTGTTCTAATTGCTGACAGATTCCTAGGCCCAGATACTGTGAGCTATAAACAGACGAGTGAATAATACAGTATAACAAAATAATAAGATAATTTTATTGTGTGGTTTACTAAGTGTCAGACGTAGTAGCGTAGTGGCAACACACTTGCGAGGAATTAGGTTCGAGTCCTGGACAGCGAGGAATGACTGGATGCCACTTTTATGCAATTGTTCGCCCCTGTTCACCCAGCAGTAATTAGCTACCTGGCTGTTAACTGACTGATGGGTTACAGGGGGAAAAATTAGTAGAGTAAGGCTTACCATGAGCTATAGGAAGGGGAAAAAAAATTCTCAACCTGCTAACGGGATCCAGAAGAAGTCATATGTTCCTGTACCCACCCGTATTAAAAAAAAAAAAACACGCTAAGAATAGACACATTTTACTGAATGTAAAATGCGTCTATTTGACTGAAAAAGAATAGCAATCTGATAACTGTGTTACTGAATAATACATCTGGATGTGTTGACACCCCTGCCTGTGTTCTCACCTTGGCTCTGGCTTCCCTCGCCGCCTCAGCCTCTGCCGCCATGGCTCGCTGCAGTTGGACGGGCAGTCGGACGTCTTTTCTGAAGATATGAGTAGGACATGAGGCTGGAGAGATGAGGAGGACATGAGGATGGGAGATGAGGAGGACTTGAGGATGGAGAGATGAGGCGGACATGAGGATGGAGAGGTGAGGATGGCATGAGGTGAAGACAAGAACACAGAGGTACGTACAGTAGGAAGCAAGGAAACGAACACTTAAGAAGGAAAATATTTCAAATTTAGAAAATAAGAAAATTAAGATAAAATGGGAACACTCTGGCAGAGATTAGTGTGGAATATGACCTATGAAGGAGATGTTAGCCGTGAATCAGACGAAGAGGCTACACCATCGTTGACCAGACCACACACTAGAAGGTGAAGGGACGACGACGTTTCGGTCCGTCCTGGACCATTCTCAAGTCGATCATCCGCTTCACACCAGAGAGAATAACAGTTACAGACCAACGAGCACTTGCATTGCTGCTGCTTTGGCAACGTCGTGACCCCAGCCATGAACCACAGTGTATTTTAAGCAGAGTGGGAGATCCGTAGCACTCTGTTCAGAGCTGCGTCATGTGCTCTCATCCTTTCGTCTGCTAGTCCCTTGTGGGGAAAAAGTCTTGATGGAGCAAGATGCTCTACTCTTCACTCGAGGTATCTTTTTCCTCTGTGTCTTACTCAACAGCCTTGATGAGGGTAGTCAAGATAGCACTTGGAAGGGATCCGGATAGGGATTTGGGATGGGACGGCGGATGGGGGGAGACGAGGGAAGACAGGAATGGTAACCCAAGGCAATCCTTAGTGTGTCTGCTTGTTGGCACTTTCTAAATTGCTTGTCGCAAAAGCCGCCTGGACAAATATCCACCACTTGTAATATGAAACAATGAGGAACCTGATGTGAAGCAAGGGAGAAAATGAGGAATATGGGACTGATACAATGAGATGAAGGGGATGAGACGCAAAAAACAGATGGAATAAGGGATTAGAAAGTGTGATAAATGAGAGGTAAAAATATGAGAAATAATAATGTCAAAATATGCAATACGCGAGAGGATACACACACAACAAATGGCTTAATATGCTAGACATGATTAATGTGTTTGTTTGACATGACAAATTAATCACACAAGTTATTCAACAAAACACAGAATCCTAAACATCCACCACAATACATGACCCATGCAATCTTGGCCACCACAGATATATATATATATCCACTATCCACAACATAAGGAGCATTGTGTTTTATCCATCCACATGCTGCTGCAATAACCATTCTTCATCCAATCAGAAGCAGGTTAGGACATCATGCCGGTTCCGACTGGCTAAGCATTCGTCTGGTGCACAAGGATAGGCTTCGTTGGGTGTCGTTACTGAAGGACTGGCAGCAGCGATCTTGTGGAATCTTGAAGGACTAAGCTAAGGCGTAAGGATCCATCTGGCTGTTGCAGGATCAATGGAATGGAAATGGCGTCCTGGGGAGAGGGAAAGGGGGCGTCCTGGGGAGGGGGGAGTCGTGGGAAGGGGGAAGCGTTGGGCCACAGACAAGCTTGGACATCCTTATATACAAAAAAGTTGCAATGCAGAACATGTAACACCTACTACTTTAAACACTTTTTAATACATGTGCAATATTAAACCCAAGACAACTAGAAATGATACAACTTGGACTCAATCTTGCATTTAAGTTTTTTGTATCTAATTATTGTTTTTTGCTGAAAACACAAAAAAGGTTAAACAAGAAAAAGGTATTCTATTATTAGTATTTTCCATTGTACAGACTCCTTTATGTAAACAAAAATAAAATAGTTTCAATAACGTGGGTGAAAATCAGACAGCCAATCTGATTTTCGAAACGACAGGAAAGTGAGGACGACACATATGAAACGACATGAAAGTGAGGCCGACACATATGAAACGACAGGAAAGCGAGGACGACACATAGGAAACGACAGGTAAGTGAGGCCGACACATATGAAACGACAGGAAAGTGAGGACGACACATATGAAACGACAGGAAAGTGAGGACGACACATATGAAACGACAGGAAAGTGAGGACGACACATATGAAACGACAGGAAAGCGAGGACGACACATATGAAACGACAGGAAAGCGAGGACGACACATGAAACGACATGAAAGTGAGGACGACACATAGGAAACGACAGGAAAGTGAGGACGACACATATGAAACGACAGGAAAGTGAGGACGACACATATGAAACGACAGGAAAGTGAGGACGACACATATGAAACGACAGGAAAGTGAGGACGACACATATGAAACGACAGGAAAGTGAGGACGACACATAGGAAACGACATGAAAGTGAGGCCGACACATATGAAACGACATGAAAGTGAGGACGACACATGTGAAACGACATGAAAGTGAGGACGACACATGTGAAACGACATGAAAGTGAGGACGACACATATGAAACGACATGAAAGTGAGGACGTTTTGATCCGTCCCGGACTCGGCATCAAATCAACATATATGGGGTCCCATTGACACCCACAGGTTCTACAGTTGGGTTTGTTCTCGACTCACAATCGGGAATTCTGGGTTCGAATCCCGGGCGGTACAGAAATGGTTGGGAATGTTTCCTATAGGCCGAATGCCCCCCTGGTGTCACCTAGTAGTAAACAGGTACACAGGAGTTATGGCAGCTTGCCTTTTTTTTTTTGGGGGGGGGGGTCAGTAATTGGATTTCTGGGGGAGGGGAGGACTTCGACATAAGCCTATCATGTATACATATACACATTAATTATTGTTAATAACACTGCAAACCAGACATGATAAAGAGTTATCTCATCGATACCTTTAAAGTACTGAACAAGTTTCAGGAAATTAATCCAAACATCCAATTTGTTTGTTTTTAAGTCAAATGTAACCACATAAGGGACGACAGCTTCAAGCTCAACAACCTACAACGTAGGACAAAAACAGGAGAGGCTTTTCCATGGGTTTAAAAGCCATTGGGTTATCTTCTCTTAAGTTATAAACCCATGGGCTATCTTCTCTGGGTTATAAACCCATGGGCTATCTTCTCTGGGTTATAAACCCATGGGCTATCTTCTCTGGGTTATAAACCCATGGGCTATGTTCTCTGGGTTATAAACCCATGGGCTATGTTCTCTGGGTTATAAACCCATGGGCTATCTTCTCTGGGTTATAAACCCATGGGCTATCTTCTCTGGGTTATAAACCCATGGGCTATCTTCTCTGGGTTATAAACCCATGGGCTATCTTCTCTGGGTTATAAACCCATGGGCTATCTTCTCTGGGTTATAAACCCATGAGCTATCTTCTCTAAGTTATAAACCCATGGGCTATCTTCCCTAGGTTATAAACCCATGGGCTATCTTCTCTGGGTTATAAATCCATGGGCTATCTTCCCTAGGTTATAAATCCATGGGTTATCTTCTCTGGATTAAAGACCTTTGGAACCCTCTTCCCTCAAAAGCCGCAGAAGTCATTACTTCAGTTCAAAAATTCACGCGGGAGAAAAAACAAATCTTCACGAACAATCTGGGGGACCTTTGACAAGACCCCGGCTTCCTGCCTCTGTCGATGGCTACTAGAGGTAAACTCCAGTAAATATCCGTTCATGTAATAATGACCAGGTAAGATAACAATTAAAAGAACAACTTAATGGATAAAATAATGATTTAAAGTAAATAATAAAATCAATACTAGTTAAAACTTGCGTAACACATGAAACCACATATTGTTATGCCTAATTTAAATTAAAACACATACAAAAAATGCCAATAAGCAACACGAAACATGCAACAAATTATACAATAGCAAATTGTATAAAACTAGGCTTCACTTAGCTTATAGGCTATATAGGCTTCACTTAGCTTACACGAGGCTTCAACCAGTGACAACAATAGACTGTGTTAGCGAGGCTATAGGAAAGTTATATGCTAAGGTGACCGAGACACTCACGCTGAGGACTCACTCTCTCTCTCTTAACACTGTGATACATATCTGTGATAGTTTCTGTGACTGGCAAGACGTGGCCAATCGTTTCCCTTTTTGCTGTTGTTGCAACTTACACGTGTCGTAAAAACACACAAAAAAAACAGGTGTGTGTGTGTCTGGTACGTGTGTTATCTCGGTCACCCACACACACATGTTAATGGGTTATTATGCCTATATATATGTAGGATAGAGGGGGGTCCTTTGGATAAAGTTGTATTGAGGGATTCTGTGGATAAAGTTGTATAGAGGGATTCTTTGGATAAAGTTGTATAGAGGGATTCTTTGGATAAAATTGTAGAGGGATTCTTTGGATAAAGTTGTATAGAGGGATTCTTTGGATAATGTTGTATAGAGGGTTTCTTTGGATAAAGTTGTAAAGAGGGATTCTTTGGATAATGTTGTATAGAGGGTTTCTTTGGATAAAGTTGTATAGAGGGGATTCTTTGGATAAAATTGTATAGAAGGATGAACGCTACAATACAATGCCTGGATCAAATGAAAATGAAAGCCTACATATTAGAAACGTGAAGATGGCGTCCAACCTCTTGAGGTTAACCTTGTGCAAAGGTTCAGGTCTAAGGAGGACCTAAATATCTTCCCCGCTAAACATTTACATAATGTGTGGCAGTAGGCTCAATTGTTCTAAAACTACGGAGCCTATCGAGAAACTCCTTTCGGAGCACTGGTAGGCCTATACTCTATTCAGTTTTGCTGATGTAATTTAACCTAACTTTTGTGACTTTATTGTGCATATAAGTTTATTCCACTGCTCTATACAAGGCGACGTTCTCAAGTTTTACTACTTTGCGGTATAAAGGGCCAGCGTCATCATCTTAAAACTTGAACCCACCTTTATTATCTGGAGCCTAATGACTATACAATCGTGCAAACGTTATGTGGGATTCCACGTTCTTGAGACCGTATATAGCATTATAAATCCCGCGCAGGTAGAAGAAGTACCTAACTTGCTACCACTGGTAGAAAAAACAAACAAAAATGTATATTATAATCTAGGCAATTACAAAAAAAGGTCCCTTTCTGCCTATCACCGCCGCAGTCAGTAGTTGAAAATGACACACGAGTCATAGCTTCATTGACTGTTTATTCACACCCACAGTTGAAACTGTTCAAGGTTCCCCTGAATTACAGTTATGTCCCTAATTCCCGTTATGAAATCGCACGACTGTTCCAACTTTAGGACGGGGATAAATTACAGATATTACAGGACTTTCGGCGTTTGTATTAAGCAACTCACAACTGTTGTGGCAGTGGCCGCCCCCCCCCCCACCACAACTCCTTGACGCTTGTGCTGCCATACGATTTTTTTAATGTATTTATTTATTTATTTATTTATTTATTTATTTATTTATATACAAGAAGTTACATTGGGGGTTAACAGAGAATATAGAAAATAAGTTGAATTAACATTCTTGTAAAGCCACTAGCACGCACAGCGTTTCGGGCAAAAAATCACTAATCCACTAAATAATTCGGCCACTAATCCATACTGGAAGTTATGCATTGTTTCTTTGGGTACTGAGAGAGAGAAAGGGGGGGGGCAGGCACGTGAAAGTTTAATCATTTTAAGGAACTTTACTGATACGAGATAACTAGATAATCCCTGATAAGCAGCTTGCAGGATAAAATTGGGTGGAGAGAAGGATAATGGGATGAAATGTTAAATGGATAAAATAACGCAATGGGAAAGGAATAAAACGCAAAGTGGATACAAAAAATCAAACAGGAGTTAATGGGAAAGAAAATGGGGAAGGGGTGAGGAGGAAAATGTCATGTTTAAGAACGCGTGAAGAGAATAGTGGAGGGAGAGAATGAGGAAGAGAGAGAGAGTCTACATGAGAGGGGAAGGTGGTGGGAGAGGACCCCGCAGGACGTACTGGAAAGGGATACGACGGGGCAAAACTAAACTATTTTTTTCGGGCTGGCATGTCAACTACCGGGCACTGGGCGGGCTCCAGGCTGGCACTGGGTCATCCACTAATCCAGGTGGCTGAAATCAGTCACATATTCCGGGGGGTTCAGTTAAATACTAAGCCTCGATTCTCTCCCATGTTCTCCAGGTGGCTGAAATCAGTCACATATTCCAGGGGGTTCAGTTAAATACTAAGCCTCGATTCTCTCCCATGTTCTCCAGGTGGCTGAAATCAGTCACATATTCCAGGGGGTTCAGTTGCAAATACTAAGCCTCGATTCTCTCCCATGTTCTCCTGTAATTCTCGACTTCCGGTAAACATCCCAAGGTGTGACACACCCAGAGTCACGAAACACATTCCATTGTCCTGCCTCACATCAAATGTTTGGCTATACACCTTAAGTTCCATAACATATCCCCAAGCTTTTAGTGTGCATTCCAACTTCTGCTACACATTCATAGGTTTGGGTCACATCTCAGGCTCTGTCACACACACTCCCAAGCTGTCACACAGCCTCAAGATCTGCTACACCCCCACAAGCTCTGCCACACACACATCCCCAAGCTTTGCCATATCCCCACCTTCTCCCCTCAAAAACGTACTGTTACACAATAATTCTGCTGCGTAACAAGGCGGCTGTAACACAGAGGGGAACACTCCCCTCAGCTAGCCACAAATGGACCCCTCTGCTTCAACACGACGCCGCATTAGCAACCAAAAATCAAAACAATATCCCTTCTAACACTCTCACAACTGAATTCATTCTCTTGCACTCTGTTGCAAATGCAAGACCTGCCAATGTTAAACATTGATTTACGAATGATTATACTGATAAATCAATTTTTTGTGGAGGAGAAAGGGATGACCCAAGAGCCAGATGGAGCTTTTCCCTCTCGTCACCTAGTTCCTTGTACTCACATTTCCACTCTCTCCACTTTAATGCCCCAGTTCTCTGTGGCATCGTCTAAGACTCCCTGAAATGGTGGAAGGGATTCCTTCTGTCAGTTGCCGAGGAGGAAACACTTGATTAGAAAGCAAGATAAATCTGTGCACAGTAAAAGGGGGGGGAGGAGGCTGTGTGTGTGTGTGTGTGTGTGTGTGTGTGTGTGTGTGTGTGTGTGTGTGTGTGTGTGTGTGTGTGTGTGTGTGTGTGTGTGTGTGTGTGTGTGTGTTAAATAAAAAAGTCAACTTCCTGGTGGTCCATCATTTCATATTGGTACTTTCGACTAAATTGTTACCAAGTACTTTTAATTTTAGAATTAGATGCTACTGAGTGTAGGAAGAAAGCCTTGCTGTATGTTGTATGGCTGTATTCCGTTATGGTTCCTCGAACTAATGACAGGAAATTTAATAAAGGCAAAAAGACATTGTTTTGTTTTAAATTTCGTATTTACTGACATAATAAATAAAGCACCGCAAACAGAATCCAACCAGAAACATCCCACAAGGTTCTAGAATTCTCCACACCGATGCACAATTACCCGAATGGAATAGGAGCCCAAGAACTGAAGTTCGACTTTGCAAATCGAGCACAAGGGCGCGCGCGCACACACACAAACACACAAGTTTCCCCCCCTCCTGTGCCCAGAGAAAACGGTGGTTTAGAAGGGTATACTCACATCTCGACTCGCTCTACCTTGATACCCCAGTTGTCGGTGGCGTCATCCAGGGAGTTCTGTAAGTAGTCACCGTTTATAAACACCTTACCCAGCCAACTGCCGCCTCGGGGCTCTCCGGTGACGAAGGGCGCAGCTGCTGGAGGGAGCCGGTAGCCAGACTCGCCTCGCAAGATGGCTCGGTCAAGATTCATCAATAGAGGGTCCCAGTATAAGGAGCAAGGGCTCATTTTCATCAATAGGGGGCCCCAATTAAGGAGCAAAGGGCTCAGTTTCATCAATATGGGGTTCAGTATGAGGAATAGGAGCTCAATATAACCAGCAGCAGCACCTCAAACAGGTACACTGTGAGGCTCAACATTACCATTAAATAGGCCAAGAATCCCCCCTTAAATGACCTATATTACCCCCTATGGGAGCTAATGGGCATTAGAACGAGGGTCACTAACACCACCGAGGAATATTTGTTTTCTAATGGGTGCTCAATATTACAAGTGGGGGGGGGGAATATTTTGACAATGAAGGCTATCTTTTAACTCTTATGAGTAATGTGCAGATCCATTTGGCCAGCGATTAATAATGATTATAACCAGTGGGTTCTCAGTTTCACCAGTGGATGGAGGGGGGGGGGGGGTGTGACTCGATACTACAAATTGGGAGGCTTCTAAGCACCTAAGGGGGGATTATGGGGGAATGAGAACCTCTATTTGGGAAGCTTTTGTGCCCACTGTAGGCCTAGTATCATCTACTAGGCAAAGGTTACCATAGTAGGTGTTCACTGTCCCTGGATGTGGTGTTTGGGGCGTTAACACAGATTCATCATACTTGAACAGAGTTCATATTTGTTCATCCTGCAGCATGCTATTATTACATAGTTCAAACTGGCTGAATACTGACCTATAGTAACTAGCACCAAACCTCCCCCTTATATATTTTTTTACATAAACTGTCAGTATTCATAAGAATAGGTACTAACTACATACACATAATGCTTAATTACCACCCATAATCTTAATTCTAATTCAAGCAAAGTTTATAAAAGTACTTTTTTACACACACTCAGAAAATTGCAATAAGATTCACTCAGCATCTTGAACATCTTAGCTTCCTGCTGTGCTGTGTGCTTGAGGATCAGGCAATCTGAATAAAGGTGTTTTTGTGGATAGTTTCAAATGAAGTTGTCGATGTCTTACTCTGTATACAAGCTTAGGAGGAAGTAAAGATGACATGTGTTTTTGTATACTTTGGATGTCTTTGTTCAAGTGGAGGAAACTGGTCGTCGGATAATTGAGCCGTCACCCTGTGTGTGTGTGTGTGTGTGTGTGTGTGTGTGTGTGTACACACACACGCGTGCACGAGCGTACAATCGCTTGCGGTGCAACTTAGAAACAAATAAAGAACATTAAACGTGACAAAAAAACAAACAATATTTTTAACATTTACATCAAGTCGCTTTCGCAATAGATCACTTTCTTGGGTGCCACAATACAGTCGATTACATATATAATATGCATTCCACAATTACAATAACTTATCGTTTTGCTAAAAAAAAAACAATCCACCAAAAGCGGGATAAATAGCTAAGGTTCAGACAAAAGAACATCCAAAACTCGTGTTGTTGTTGTGTTGATTTAGGGGCGACGACGATCGTGGGATCGGATGCGCCCCGGCTGCCCGATACCGGGAAATAGCGAGGGATGGGGTCCCTATAGTCTCTTCAGGCCATAGACCCTACAATTTCCTCAGGCGACAAATTTTACAGTCTCTTCAGGCCACGGACATGACGGATGAAGCGGAAGGTATGGCGAAGGATGTTATGACGGACGTCTTCGTCTCTCGCACCTGCCCCGTCAAGGAGAACGGGAACTGTGAGGCGGGGAATATTCAGCCTACGAACGGAACTCTGTAGTCTGACGCGAGCGCTATGAAATCGTGGGCAGTGAAGTAGAAGGTGCTCCACTGTATCCTCCTGGGTCGGACACCACTGGCAATATGGGGAATCTACCAGCCGTAGACGATGGAGATGTGCGGCCAGGCAAGTGTGCCCAATCCGGAGACGAGTGATGGCAGTGTCGAGGAGTCGAGAATGATGACGAGTCCATGGACGCGGGGAGGAATCCTCCCGTAGACCTGCCAAAGAGGAAGACCTGAGTGCTGGCTCCATCATTGCCTCCCAACTCGCGAGGCAAGCCGCCCGGAGTTGTGGGAGAATTTTGGAAAGGTCTAAAGGCACATTTGTAGAGTCATGGAGAGCATGCGCCATCCCTGCTGCTGCGCCGGCTACCTCATTGCCTTTAATACCGACATGTGACGGAACCCATTGGAGATAGATAGACCAACCTGGAGTAACAGAGTATGACAGCAGTTCTCCACGGATCTGTGACACAGTATGACGATGGACTCGTGGACGCCGAGATGATATCAGATGTAGGGCTGTGATTGAGTCCACGTAGAAAACCACTGCAGAGGGCCCTGAAACTTGTCAAAGGAGTCGTAAGGCTAGTAAGATTGCAAACAATTCCCCGGCCAGGCACGAATGAGCAGGGGAGAGTTTCCACGTCTGACAGAAAGAAAAAGGAGCAAAGTATGCTGCCGCAGATGTAGATGGTGGCTGATCTTTGTGGGACCCATCCGTGTAAACCTCTAAGTATCCAGAGTATAAGGAGGCTCGTAGGTCTGCAAAAATTAAAGGGGCCAAACCCTCTAAATCTCTCTTCCGACGAGGAGGCTTGGAAAAGTCGACAGAAACTCGAATGATCTCTTCTGCCCATGGAGGCACCGGTGAGATGATCGGGCCAGGGGTGAGTACAGGGACGGGAAGCGAAAACTGTGAATATGCATCCAAGGCCCGGACGACGAAAGGCAATTGACGGCGTCTGGAGTGTCCAGCCGGCACATTCCACCAGTTAGCCTCGAGCTGGAGGCGAGTAAGTGGATGGGTAGCAGGGAGACGCACTATCCGTTGAAGTTGGCGGCAGTGGGCGAGAAGACGTTGAAAGCTCAGGGGCCATAGCCCCGACTCTGCATGGAGAGAAAGAACTGGCGAGGAGGGCATAGCTCCTAACGCTGAGCGAAGGGCACCATTTTGAATGGGATCCAGCCTTGCCAAGACAGATGCTGCTGCTGAGCCATAGACTTCACTCGCATACATGATCTTGCTACGAATGAAGGCCTTGTAGAGAGCTAGGAGCGACTCCCGTGAAGCCCCCCAAGCCACACCAGAGACCCGTTTCATGATGTTCACGCGACGAAGGCATGAGGCCCGAAGGTAGTCGACATGGTGCCTCTACGTCAGCCGAGGGCTATCTAGAATGACCCCCAGCCACCTGTGTTCGGTAGCGATCAGGAGACGACAGCCCCCAAGGGTCACCACTGGCTGGTCTGGTAAGAGGGTCCAGGTGAAGCTCATGACGCAACTTTTCACAGGGTTAATGGAGAGCCCCTTCCCCAGCACAATTGCTGAGAACACAGTCACGGCATTTTGCAGGGAGCCTTGTGCCTCTAGGAGAGTGTCACCATCCGCCACGAGGGTTACATCATCGGCATAGGCTAAAACCTGGACCCCCCGGAATACAGGGAGATCAGACAGAAGAATAGAGAATAGTAGTGGGCTCAGAATCGCTCCCTGAGGGACACCACGCGAGACAGGGCGGGACGTAGAGACGACTCCACCAACTGCCACTTTAAATGAGCGGCCCTGTAGATAGTTTTGGAACCACCTTAACGCCGGACCCGAAAGACCTAGTCGAGCCAGACTCTGAAGGACAGCAGAATGAGAAGCAGAGTCAAATGCACTCTTGATATCGAAGAATGCTGCAAGGAGCACTCTTCTCCGGCGATAAGTGTCCATTATTCGATGTTCCAAGGAGAGGAGGCAGTCCATCGTGCTTCTTCCCGGCCGAAATCCACTGATACCCTCAGGTAGGAGACCTGAGGTTTCCACCACCCATTGTACCCGGGTGTGAACAAGATGTTCCATCAGTTTCCCGAGACATGGAAGCAAACTTATGGGCCGATATGAAGTCAGGACAGACGGATCCTTCCCTGACTTGGCCAATGGTAGAAGAATGGCGTGTTTCCACGGGGCAGGGAAGACACCAGAGGACCAGCAGGCGTTGTAGAAGTAAAGGAGGTGGGACTGAAAGTTCTTGGGTGCTCTCCGAACAAATTCATATGGGACGTTGTCTATCCCTGGCATAGTGCCCGACCTAGAGAGTGACAGAGCGTCCTTCAGTTCAATAGATGTAATTGGGCGATCCAGGTCCAGAGCTAGTCCTATACCCTGTCGGGAGCCCCAACCTATGGAACTCACAGAGAGGAGCGGGGAACGGTAAACATCTTCAAAGTGGTCAGCCAAGAGTTCGGCTATTTGTACTTCCCCTAGGCCCCCATTACCACTGGGGTCTCTGAGTGGGATGGTAGGCCGGGAGTACCTACCTGTCATCTTACGAACAAAGGCCCAGACTCCTGCAGAGGAGGAGTCGAATCGGAGAGAGGCACAGTAATCAGCCCAGGCCTTGCGTTTGGCAAGGAGGACTGTGTCTACACCTGGCGTCCGCCCTGCGGAAAGTCTGCCGCTGCAGTGGAGTAGGGTGGCGCCGCCACGAATTCCACGCACGTCGCCAGTCCATTACTGCCTGCCGACATTCAGGAGTCCACCACGGTGCCCCACGGCGGGAAGGATTGGTTGTCTGGCCACTAGTCCTCCTGAAATGCCGAGAGCCTACACTGAAGAGGGACTCGGAGAGAGCATCTGCTGACCCATGGAGATCTGCAGTAACTGGGGGAAGGGTCAACCAGTCATCTGCCTCATAGCCATGCCACCCCTCTTCCGAGAAGATCCATTTGGATCTACGGGAGGTCAGAGGAGGACGAACAGTGCCCCCGAAGGAGATGACAATGGGCAGGTGATCACTACCCAGGTACGGCCCGGTCCATATCTGCGCCATCGTGAAGGGGCCTCTTCCAATGCAAAGATCGAGTGTTGAAGTATGGCCATTTAGCGGGTCTATCCGAGTTCCCAAACCTGGCGGCGTCAGTAAGGAGAGGTCTGGGGAGTCAAGGAGAAACTGAAATAGGGCTCGGCCAGCCATGTTGTGGTGGCGACCCGATAGCATGGGTTGCCATGATGAGTGCCGAGCGTTAGTCACCCATGACGAGGCAGGTGTCTGTGATCTGACCAAAATAGTGTTCTAGTTCCTTCTTCGTTACCGGTAGACAGGGGTTATACAGAACTCCAAAGGTGCCCCACCCATGGGAGAGGGCGACCTTCACTGCCATGAATTCTAAATGTCCACCCGGGAAGGAGTGAATCCGGAGCAAGGAGCTGGGAACTGAGTCCCTGACCAAGAGGGCAAGTACCCCTCCACCCCGTACTGGCCGATCTTGTCTATAGACAGAATACCCCGGCACTGTGAAGGAAAGATCGTCTGTAAGCCAAGTCTCACAGAGTCCCACGATCAACGGTGGTCGCTGGCGATAAAATTGCGTAGAAATTGCATCTTCTTAAAAAGGGAGTGGGCATTCCAAAACACCACAGAATTCTCAGGATGGGGCGCCATTATCCCTGAAATACAACAGCTAACTTTTTGACCACCAGTGCACAGACGTCTCCAAAGGGGGAACCACTAGAAAAAGCCATAAAACCCTCATACAAAGTAAGTAAAATGTGTGGTATCAATGACTTCCAGTCAAGAGGATGTTGATCTATGCTTCTCTCTGCCTGACGGAAGCGGTGGTCGGCTCGCGAACTCTCTTGACGGCGTCTGTGACTGGTGGGAGCCTCACTCTGGGCCTCATGTTCCCCCGGTGTCACAATCCCTTGGGAAAGTGTCTGGGGGACCAGAGGATCATCAGGGCTGTCTGTTGGAGCAGTACCTCCTGATCGAGGGGTGTGTCGACGACGCCGGTGTTGGCTTCTTTGAGGAAAGGCAGGAGGGTGACGAGTGCTAGGCTCCGGCTGAGACTGAGCGTCCATGTCTGTATCCGTGGATGAGTTTCCGTCAATGTCAAGGTTACCCAGGAGGGAAAATCGATTAGCAACCTGGGTGTATGTGGCATGTGACTAGGACAGGCAAGAGCGTCTGCTAGTTCCTACTTGTGAAGAGGCCCGACCAGGGGAAACCTGGAGGCGAGAAGAAGCGATAGGCTGATTGAGGGTGCGCAACTTCTGGAACAACTCATGTCGAGGTGTCCCCGCTGTTTTATGATCGATGTCCAACTGGAGGGCCTCAAGGTATACAGGGCAACTCTTAGACGTAACTTTATGATGGCCAAGGCATAAAAAACAGCGAGGTGCAGCAGAGCACCCACCGTTATCTCTGTCTGGATGGCCTGTTTTGCCGCAGTTTGCACAACGTGCTGTATTACGGCAGGTCAGGCGACTGTGGCCCAATAGATGACAAGCGCAACATCGTAAAACAGGGAAATTGTAGGGCTGAACCTGATACGAGGTCCTGTGTAGTGCCACTCGGTCAGGGAGGTGCCCATCGAACTTTACACGGACCATGGATGTCGGCCCTGCTGCTCCGCGAATCCTGGTAACTTCCAATAATCTCGCTGATGCACCCACTAATACCTGCAGAGCGGCCTGGATGTCATCCACATCTACACTCTGGTCAATTGGGCCAATCTTCCCATACCGGGCCCGAGACTCTTCCTCCTGCGACAATACCTGTCGGCACCTGACAGGTCAGTCCCCCAACTTAATAATGTCGGATACACAGATGTGTGATAGAGCCTCCTTTCTGATATGTAGCTTCAGTGCTGCACCCCTACCCAGGGTACGTATGGTCTCAGGCAGGCAATGTGGCCACAATACGGAAGCCTCGATTGCTGCACCTAAGGTACGAGGATTTGCAAAGACGCACTGACCTGATTCTGACTAGATTAGGACTACCACAAACGAGGAACGGGGTACCACAAGACTAAGGTCTTCTGAAGGGGAGGATATCCTCTTAGCATCTCGCTCTGGGGCAGCATCAGCCGACTCATTTTCCAGCAGACGTTTTCCTCTCTGGGACTTTCTGTCAACATCCATGGCGCCCCCGCTCGGGGAGGCGTCCATTAGGGAGGCTCCGGCCTTCCCCGGTCCTGTGAGCCCCTGGGTAGCTGCAGTGAGCACACACTGGCCCAAAGAAGCCAGCTGAATTCAAAGATGAGTTCCAGGTAAGGTGTGGAAAGAAAGTCCAGCTAGGAGCGTTCAATCCGCGTGCCAAGATGGCCGACCTTCGGCCCGCCGTCTTCAAAATGCCAAAACTCGTGTATTTGCATGAACAACGTCGCCGACTCAAACAGAAAACGGAACAGTTCGTCACTTTTGTGAGTCGATTTCATTTCAAATTACGTCTAAATTTGGCCATAGCGCGCATACGAGCGAAAAGTGACGTTATTTTTAAGAGGACGGGTTGCACAGCTAACACCATAATTGTCTAACACCTAGTCAGTCGACTGGGAACACTCACTTCATAGGCTCGAATCCTCATCAGGGCTCCTGAGGATTTGTTCTTCCTTACAGAATGTGTTTACCTCTCTGGTTGGGTTTGTTTTATAGAATAGCAATGACGTAGCAAGTTACACACTTTCCTCAGGTCTTAGACCCTACTCGCACGAGTAGGAAACGTCATAAATACAATAGTTTACCCGGTAATTTAAAAAATAATTGTTTTAATCCATAACTTAAGCGTTAATGTGCGATCATTGCAGCAACACGCTGGGTTTAACGAAGCAGTCAAACGAATCTTTGGCTTGGAAGGAAAACAAGGCTATTTATATTTTATATTTATACAACTGTATAAATTTCTGGTGCGCATCCACCTGAATTATCGTATCCAGGCATATGGAGACCTTATCTTCAGAAAGACACTTTTACTATGAAGTTCAACACCGGGCGACAAAGATGATTCCAGAATCAAGTCGATTCTCATACCAGGAATGGTTGAGGGCCCCTGAGCTTGACAACACTGCAAACCAGACATGACAGGGCTGATCTCAAAACTTTGAAAATACCTATTTATTTAGAGGATATTGAGCCAGACATTATCTTCAAAAGGTCAGATGTAACACAAACAAGGAACAACGGTTTCACGCTCAACAAGCTTGAAAGTGAAAACAGTTTTGAAGGATTGAAAACAGGAGATATTTTTTTCACCCACAGGGATAAAACTCATGGAACCGCCTACCCGCCGAAGTCGTAAATGCATTAACACAGCTAATTTGAAAATCCAGCTCAATGACATCACGGCAAATAGGTGTGAATCTTTGGCAGACCGCCGGCTTCCTGCCCTCGTCGAGGCCACTATAGAGTGGCCCTCGGGTAAATTCAGGTAAAGTCCTGATAGATTCAGTTGTAATTCCATAATGTATAATGGATTTTACATATAACTATATACATATATATATAGATCCGAATCATGGAATGTGAGACAGAATTTTGGGGCTCGAATGAATTTATCTATCAGAGGACAATGAAAAATAACACCTGGAAATGTGCCACGTGTGTAGTCAGCGTTTAATGTAACGCCACGTGTTAGCCACATGTAAAGCCCCTACATGTGGCGTTGACTCACATCTAGGGAGGCCAAGTTTGAAGTAACCAACAGGGAAGTAGCCTCAGGCTAGTTGAAAATGAGAGGAGCCTAGCTCTCTGATTTCAATTACTAGAGCGGTTGGCAGAGACGGGCCAGTCAATCGGTCGCCAATCCACATTTAGGTTCGAATCCCGATGACGTGTTGGCAGCCTCATAGGTGCTTCAAGATAACCATCCAACCCCAAAAAGAGGACAGTGCTCTCAAGAAAGGACGGGGTTTCTTTATTGAGCACGGGGGCTCTCAAAAAGGGACTGGGCCGGAACTGAACCACGAAGCATCTGAATATAAGGAAACGATTTTCGAGGGAATTGAGGACATTTTCCGTTTGTTCTCGTCATTAGTCAATTATTGTAGATATTCTCAGATCAATGTTCTGACCTTTATTATGGAGCATTGAATTGATTTTCACTTCAGAGTTTAACTGCGGGGAGAGAGGGAGGGGGGAGGGGGTACTATAATGATATTGCATGTGTGTGTGTGTGTAATTACCTAAGTGTAATTACCTAAGTGTAGTTACAGGATGAGAGCTACGCTCGTGGTGTCCCGTCTATCCAGCACTCTTTGTCATATAACGCCTTGAAGCTAGTGACGATTTTGGCCTCCACCACCTTCTAACATAACTTGTTCCAACCGTCTACCACTCTGTTCGTGAAAGTGAATTTTCTTATATTTCTTCGGCATCTTTGTTTAGTTAGTTTCAATCTATGACCTCTTGTTCTTGAAGTTCCAGGTCTCAGGAAATCTTCCCCTATCGATTTTATCAATTCCTGTTTGTGTGTGTGTGTGTGTGTGTGTGTGTGTGTGTGTGTGTGTGTGTGTGTGTGTGTGTGTGTGTGTGTGTGTGTGTGTGTGTGTGTGTACACCTATACATTCATTGGGTTCCTTACACACAGACATATGTTCAGAGATATTCCCACAACAATTCAAACCACATTGCTTGCTTCCTCCACCACCCCCCTCTCACCCCCTTCACCCCCACACACACCTGCACCCCCCACACACACCTACACCCCCACACCTACACCCCCCACACTTACACCCCCACACCTACACCCCCACACCTACACCCCCACACCTACACCCCCACACTAACACCCCCACACTTACACCCCCACACCTACACCCACCTGCATGTCGCAGGAGATAGACTCCCGATCTCCGAGGATCTCGTGGAGATTCTTAGTACCCAGCATGTTCCTAAGCGTGGTCTGAGCGAGCAGCCTAGTGGAGTGATGGGCGTTCTCCACATTAGCCACACTCACGGTGGCGTTGCTCACCCTGTAGTACACCACGGCGTCCACACTCACGGTCACAGAGTCCTTCGTCAGCACCTGTGACAGGTAAAAAGAACGTTACACTTCTACAGGAGGAGTTTCTTAATTGCATAAAAGGCCAAAAAAGGCACACAAAAGGTCAAAAGGTTAATTGCATAAAAGGTCATACATGGCATAAAAGGCCAAAAAAGGCACACAAAAGGTCAAAAGGTTAATTGCATAAAAGGTCATACATTGCATAAAAGGCCAAAAAAGGCACACAAAAGGTCAAAAGGTTAATTGCATAAAAGGTCATACATGGCATAAAAGGTCAAAAAAGGCACACAAAAGGTCAAAAGGTTAATTGCATAAAAGGTCATACATTGCATAAAAGGTCAAAATACATGAACTGTAGTTTGGTTATAGTGTTCTTTTATAGGTTATGGGGAGGGGGGAGGGGTTATTACACGTAGAAAATTGTATAATAATGGGTAGGGACGAAATGATTGTATTAATGGGGGGGGGGTTCAGTTCAAGGGTGAATGTGCATTAATGGGGCTTAAGACCCGGCTATAGGTAAACAATACGTGAATGGGAAAGTACACAACTGGTTATCAAGGGGGAAGGCATGATATCAAAGGCATGCGAAGAGTATGAGGGGGATAGCTGACAGCAGGAGGGGAAGGCTGATATCGAGGGAGGAAGAGTGGCATCAGGTGGGAGGGGTAGAAGGGAAGGGAAGGGAAGGGAACTTTCAGGGGGGAAAAGCGCCAAGCCATTACGACTATATAGCACTGGGAAGGGATCAGGATATAAGGATTTGGGATGGGATGGGGCGAAAGGAATGGTGCCCAACCACTTGTGGACAGTCGAGGGATTGAACGCCGACCTGTATCAAGCGAGACCGTCGCTCTTCTACCGTCCAGTCCAAAGTGGTTGGGCAAACCACTTAGATCAGATAACATAACTTTATCAGAAGTTAGGTCACGTGACGTCTGGCAGCGAAGAACTCGCTAGTGTTGCCACCACTCTCAAACAAACATTACCCCCACAGTAAAACCGCTAAACATTGCGTGGATACAAATACAACACAAAAACAATAATAATCGCGAAGGATTTACGACTTCCATTTCTGTCTCACAAAAGTCAAATGGTTCGAATGGTTTACATAGGCTGGAGGAACAGCAAAGAAAACACAGCAGGGGGAATGAAATTCATCTCGTCTCGTCAACGTTCGGAAGTCTATCGGTGGTAGAGACTTGGTTGATGACGGTCGATAGACAGGGAAGGTGAGGGGAGAAGATGAGGGGGAAAGGTGAGGGGGGAAAATCACTTTGTCAACACACACAGCCTTCTAACAGAGCGTCGCATTTGGACGTATACTCCACCTAAGACCAAAAATCGTCGTACTAGAAAATGATAGCGGCTTGCGAAACTGGCAACCACACATTCCCGTTTTCTGTTTTGGGTCCTCTGGTAGATTAGGATATAAGCTAGGCACTCTGGTACGACAGTTCCCTTGACGTAGTGAAGCCTTAGGAGGACGGGCTGCTATTTTAGATCTATATGTCTCCCTTCGTCAGCCCATTGCAATGGGAGATAGGGTCGTGGACAGGTCGAGAGACGTCAACATGGTCATTTAATATCCCATGACTTGCTTGTCGAGGCCCAGATCAAAGCTGACCACCTCATTCTGCCAATGTGTGTGACAAACTCACTCACTCACTCACTCACTCACTCACTCACTCACAACCCTCATGACAAACTCTCCACTGCGCCTCAGCTTGTCATAACATTCTTCTGGCCACGTCCTGGGCCGACCACGTGCTGGGATAACCACCTGCTGGGATAACCACCTGCTGGGATAACCACCTGCTAGGATGGGCACGTGCTGGGCTGTTGTGTGGTCAAGTCGTACAAAAGACGATTTAACAAAGTTAGTTTCCCCTTTATAAAAAAAAGTATATCTTGCTAAGTTAGGACGTTGCAGCTTAGCCTAGGCTGTGGTGAGCTCGATTGGGTTGAAATGAGGTTCGGTTAGGTTAGGTAGGCTTTGAAATCTGAGGAAAAACCTTTCCCTCCCCTCCTCTATATATAATGTGACTTGTAGCCGCTGTACAAGACTTTAAGCGTACAGATAGTGGAAAGGGGTTATCTTCTTGAGGTTATCTTGAGATGATTTCGGGGCTTTTAGTGTCCCCGCGGCCCAGTCCTCGACCAGGCCTCCACCCCCAGGAAGCAGCCCGTGACAGCTGACTAACACCCAGGTACCTATTTTACTGCTAGGTAACAGGGGCATAGGGTGAAAGAAACGCTGCCCATTGTTTCTCGCCGGCGCCTGGGATCGAACCCAGGAAAACAGGATCACAAGTCCAGCGTGCTGTCCGCTCGGCCGACCGGCTCACCACGGAAGGGGGGGGGTTCGTTTCAGCCTCTCATAACATGCGGAATACCTTGAGGTTTGGGCATAAGGGGCACCTTGAGGTTTGGGCATAAGGGGCATCTCAGTACCGTCTTATCACTGCCCTCAAGCACCACTTTCACACACAGCTCAAACTCTCGCTCCACTGGTCTTGTACTTCAAGTGGTCCATACCTAAATGTATTCATATTATCTTGGAACAGAAGAAGGGTATTCATATTATCTTGGAACAGAAGAAGGGTATTTATATTATCTTGGAACAGAAGAAGGGTATTCATATTATCTTGGAACAGAAGAAGGGTATTCATATTATCTTGGAACAGAAGAAGGGTATTCATATTATCTTGGAACAGAAGAAGGGTATTCATATTATCTTGGAACAGAAGAAGGGTATTCATATTATCTTGGAACAGAAGAAGGGTATTCATATTATCTTGGAACAGAAGAAGGGTATTCATATTATCTTGGAACAGAAGAAGGGTATTCATATTATCTTGGAACAGAAGAAGGGTATTCATATTATCTTGGAACAGAAGAAGGGTATTCATATTATCTTGGAACAGAAGAAGGGTATTCATATTATCTTGGAACAGAAGAAGGGTATTCATATTATCTTGGAACAGAAGAAGGGTATTCATATTATCTTGGAACAGAAGAAGGGTATTCATATTATCTTGGAACAGAAGAAGGGTATTCATATTATCTTGGAACAGAAGAAGGGTATTCATATTGTCTTGGAACACAAGGTGAAGTATTCATATTGTCTTGGAACACAAGGGGAAGTATTCATATTGTCTTGGAACACAAGGGGGAGGGTGTAAGAGGGGGAAGAAGGGGGTGAGAGAGAGCCCCATGTGTCAGCATATCAATATACATGAGCCCCATGTGTCAATACTTAGGGGGAGGGGGGGGGGAAGAGGGTCAATATGGATCCCAGTAGTTCGAGAGGAAGACTTGTCGGTATTATTGATCTGGGAGGATCATTACAATCTAATTACCCTGAATTCTAATTCACGGTAAGTATCTAATATCAGGGTGAATATCTAATTCCTCCATAATACGTCATACGTCGACGTCATAATAGGAATACGTCACAGGGTGGTGGTGGTGATGGTGACAATGGTGAAGATGATATAATGGTGGTGGTGAAGATGATATAATGGTGGTGGTGAAAATGATGGTGGGTGATGACGGTGTTGAAACATTATTGGAATTGACGGGTAACTTGCCTAATCGTCATCTGGTTACTCGAGGACCTACGATAATTGGACATCTATCAACCGGTTTTCTAAGCAAACAGAGGGAATGAGACGATGGGGACAAAGAAGTAGAAAAAAACAACAGGGATAAGGAAGACAAGGAGGAAACACGATATGAGGAAGCGTAAGAGATAGAGATAATAAATAAACAGAGAAAGAGAACGAGGAGGAAATGGTCCGGTGCCTAACCTGTTCTCTTACGGATTACGTCTGAATTTGGCCGTTTGCCCGTATGGCCGATGATTGATTGATACAAGATTAAGCCACGCAAAAAGGTGGTACGGGCATGAATAGCCCGTAAGTGGTGGTGGCCCTTTTGGAGCCATTACCAGTATCAAGAGCTGATACTTGAGATCTGTAGAGGTGCGACTGCACCCTGCGTGACGGGAGACGTCTCCCCCGTGAATGGCCGAAAATGGACGTAATTTGAAAATGAAAAATATTTGAAAATAAATTTCGGATTTTTATCTTTGTCCAAAACAGCAACTTTTTGCTGAAACAGACGAAATGTAGGAGAATATAGAACAGTCAAGAAAGCAAGAAGCTAAAGACTTAAAGACTATAAAGATTGATCAATTACACAAGACAAAGACTCCAGAATAAGGTGACTCAGATCACAGTGTGATTAATCTGGTGATTTGCTTGTATCTTGGAACAAGTTACTGGGGGGGGGGGAGGGGGGGGGACACGTCGTAAGAACCGATGCATCATGATAAAGGTGCTCGGAAAGTTTCAAGAAATAGTTAAGACACACACACACACACACACTTGTCAGTAAGGACAGAGGAGCTAATTGCCAAGATCTTCATTGGCCAGAAGTCAAGATCAAGAAATCATTCCAAAGACGAGATGGGAGAGTCATATCATCACTTTGACATGATCTGGGATGGTGGACACGGATGGGCAGCAACGACGATGATGAAGATGAGGATGATGAGAATGATGAATGTGTTGGTTGAATCACAAACGTGGCTGCCTCCCTGGAGTCTGAGACGCACGCACGCACACACACACACACACATACACACCCACACACACGCACACACCCACACACACACCCACACACACGCACACACCCACGCACACGCACACACACCCACACACACGATGGAAGCACTTACAGCGACCACTGGCAAATGGAAAGTAACGTCAGCACACTATATGTGACGGAAGGGAGGATGGGACGGTGGCCCTTGTGTCGAGAAAACGTCCCCCCTTTCCAGCTCCTGCTCTGAACGTCCGCTCAGTGCAAAATCAATAACAATGAAGCTTTCTGGAAAAGCTTACTATGACCCAGAAGCACTGGAGATGCCCATCTTCAGACGTCCTTACAGAGGTCATGAACTAGAGAGAGTGAGAAGAGGTGTGGAGTGTGGAGGGGGATGTGGAGGGGGATGTGGAGGGGGATGTGGAGCGGGGGTGTGGAGCATGGAGTGTCAGAAGTAAACACTTGGGGTTTTTAAAACTTGCCTCTTGTGGCGGAACGTCAAAAACACTTGTCCTCAAGTCCACTTTCGAGTAGGACTCAATGCAGGGCAAGATGAAGAAGATACCTGTTAGTGGGAGAAAAACACATTATTTGACCTTATTTAGCACAACAACACAAATAATTTTTTGCATTAGATCAGCAGCATGGAGATGGAGAGAAGAAAGGGTGTGAGGTTAGCATCTATTTCCTCCTCTCTCTCTCTCTCTCTCTTCCATATTCTCGCCTCCTCCCGTCACTCTCCTTCCCATCTCTCTCTCCCTCCATCCCCCAGCACCAGCTCCTCTGCTGGTGCTGGGCGGTGACAGTTAGACAGGTATGACGATCTACAGGTTGTTATTGAGGCCGAGACCACGCTGGAAGGCCAATCACCGCTCCTCCAACATCTTCAAGACGCTGTAAACAACTCCACTAACAGGATTATCACTAGCTACGATTCTCCTTGGGAGAGCTACTTCAAATATTAAGACTAGGATAAATTTGTTTGGGTTTACGATTGATTACGTCATGGGGATGTTTAAAGTTATATTTGGATTCACTGAAATATATATTTTCAATATTGTCATAAGAAAAATAATGAATTAAATGCAATGTAATTCCTTTTTCAGAACCTTAAACATAAACAATGAACTATTATTGTTCGAAAGAGAAGATTAGGAGCTGAGGTTTAACCCTGTAATAATATTTAAGTGTGTCTGTACACAGGTACACACACACACACCCGAGCTGAGAGGTATGAGCTACGAGGAGAGACTACGGGAATTAAACCTCACTTCGCTGGAAGACAGAAGAGTTAGGGGGGACATGATCACCACATTCAAGATTCTGAAGGGGATTGATAGGGTAGATAAAGACAGTCTATTTAACACAAGGGGAACACGCACAAGGGGACACAGGTGGAAACTGAGTGCCCAAATGAGCCACAGAGATATTAGAAAGAACTTTTTTAGTGTCAGAGTGGTTGACAAATGGAATGCATTAGGGGGTGATGTGGTGGAGGCTGACTCCATACACAGTTTCAAGTGTAGATATGACAGAGCCCGATAGGCTCAGGAATCTGTACACCTGTTGATTGACGGTTGAGAGGCGGGACCAAAGAGCCAGAGCTCAACCCCCGCAAACACAACTAGGTGAGTACAACTAGGTGAGTACACACACACACACACACACACACACACACACACACACACACACACACACACACACACACACACACACACACACACACACACACACATACACAGTTTCAAATGAATATACGCTAAAGCTTCTCAGCCTCAGGAAGACACACGCAGGTTAATTGATAGCCGAGAGCCGGAACCAAAGAGCCGAAGCTCCACCACTGCAAGTACAACTAGACGAGTGCACACACGCACTCACATATACTATTGACATACTAGTAATAAGTGAGATTATTTCCAACGCCTCAATAATAAATCAGGGAACCAGATTCACGAAGCAGTTACGCAGGCATTTACGAACCTGGGGCCAGATTCACGAAGCAGTTACGCAAGTACTTACGAACCTGGGCCCAGATTCACTAAGCAGTTACGCAAGTACTTACGAACCTGGGGCCAGATTCACGAAGCAGTTACGCAGGTACTTACGAACCTGGGGCCAGATTCACGAAGCAGTTACGCAAGTACTTACGAACGTGTACATCTTTCCTCAATCTCTGATAACTTTGGTTACATTTATTAAACAGTTTACAAGAATTAAATCTTCCCAATCAACAGGTGTTATGTTATTGTTATAAACAGCCTCCTGGTGCTTCGGAGCTCATTAACTGTTTAATAATTGCAAACAAACCCGCCAAAATTGAGAAAAGGTGTACAGGTTTGTAAGTGCTTGCGTAACTGCTTCGTGTATCTAGCCCAAGACTTTCAAAATCATTTTCATCCCGATGAGGAAAGGATGGAGTATAGGAGGACTTACCTGGCCCTCTGGAGCCTCCCTGAAGTAATCTTCCCAGTCTGAAGATGACGGCTCTCTCGTACTCCTGCACAACCTGAAGATGTTGACACTCGTTAGAACATAATTAAGGGAAGTGTTGACCAGACCACACACTAGAAGGTGGAGAGACGACACGTCGTTTCGGTCCGTCTTGGACCATTCTCAAATCAGTTGTGACTTTATGTCTCAAGTCACAATCGACTTGAGAATGGTCCAGGACGGACCGAAACGTCGTCGTCTCTTCACTTTCTAGTGTGTGGTCTGGTCAACATTTTTCAGCCAGGTTATTGTGACTCTTCAGCTGCATAATTAAGGGAACAGCAGAGGGCCCATTAACCTCCCAAGAGACTTTCTGCTGTTCATCATCTTATGCAGTGCAGTTCTAGTGTTTTGTTTATAAATAAACTCATTCGTAAACTCAGGGAGCCGGTCGGCGCTGGACTTGTGATCCTGTGGTCCTGGGTTCGATCCCAGGCGCCGGCGAGAAACAATGGGCAGAGTTTCTTTAACCCTATGCCCCTGTTACCTAGCAGTAAAATAGGTACCTGGGTGTTAGTCAGCTGTCACGGGCTGCTTCCTGGGGGTGGAGGCCTGGTCGAGGACCGGGCCGCGGGGACACTAAAAAGCCCCGAAATCATCTCAAGATAACCTTACATGTTATTAATCCTTTAAGGGTTAAAGCATCCATTGATCCTATGTCTATTATGTATCCAGCAGTTTGTTCCAATGATTCTTGAGTGTTAGGGGGGGTAGGGGGGGGGGGTTAATTATAATTAATTAACAGGGAAAGCGCCACGCCATTACGACTTTATAGCACTTAGAAGGGGGCAGGATAAGGATTTGGGATGGGACGGGGGGGGGGGGGGGTAGAAAAAACACATTTGAGAGTGTATGGAACGATGTTGTTTGCTCTTAACATTCATAATGTAGAGTTATACAGCGTACATTGGTCATCATTGGGGGAAATGTGTAAAGGAACACTTCAAAAGTGCATTACGGAGCACTGCACGAGTGCATTACGGAGCACTGCACGAGTGCATTACGGAGCACTGCACGAGTGCATTACGGAGCACTGCACGAGTGCATTACGGAACAGTGAGAAGATGTATTTCATGGCGCATAATTGGATAAACAGGAATATGCTATGCGTTGCAAAAATAAGAATTGTGGAATGCAAAAGCTAACGGAATGCATCGCAAAAAAGTAACAATATGATTTGGTGAAAAGAATGCACACTGTAACACAATGGGTGCGCGCATTGCAACAAACTATGCATGAAAATCGACACGTGCATTGCAGACAAGCAGTCACAATAATGTGGCTGATCGACTTGATCAGCCACATTAATCGACATTCCATTCTCAATCGAGTTGAAAATGGTCCACGATGGACCGAAACGTCGTCGTCCCTTCACTTTCTAGTGTGTGGTCTGGTAAACAATGTGGCTGAAATCACATAACCGAACCCCTACATAAGAGATGAAAGTGAGGACGTTTCGGTCCGTCCTGGGCCCCTATCACAAATTTTAGGTCCGTCCTGGACCCTTATCAGGTACTGCACTGGATAAGGGAGTACCTAAGCAACAGAATACAGCGAGTCACTGTGAGGGGTGACGTCTCGGAGTGGCGAGGCGTCACCAGTGGAGCCCCGCAGGGTTCAGTCCTTGGACCTATACTATTTCTGATATATGTAAATGATCTCCCAGAGGGTATAGAATCATTTCTCTCATTGTTTGCTGATGATGCAAAAATTATGAGGTGGGTTAAGACAGATGAAGAGAGTATGAGGCTACAAGATGACCTAGACAAGCTGAAGGAATGGTCCAACAAATGGCTAAAGTTTAACCCGAGTAAATGTAAGGTAATGAAACTAGGTGGAGGAAGTAGAAGGCCAGCCACGGGATACCGAATGGGAGATGAAGTTCTTCACGAAACGGTCAGAGAGAAAGATCTAGAAGTTTATATCACACCAAACCAGTTTCCTGAAGCCCACATAAAAATAATAACATCGGCGGCGTATGCGAGGCTGGCTAACATCACAAATGCCTTCAGAAATCTGTATAAGGAATCTTTCAGAACCTTGTATACCACACTTGTAAGACCAATCCTAGAGTATGCGGCCCAAGCATGGAGCCCGTACCTTGTCAAACACAAGACGAAGCTGGGAAAAGTTCAGAGGTATGCTACTAGGCTAGTCCCAGAATTAAGAGGCATGAGTTACGAGGAAAGGCTCTGTGCTCAGCGACATGAGGTGCTACCAGCACCTCATGTCGCTGGTAGACAGAAGAGCTCGGGGGAGACATGATCATCACATAAACAATTCTCAGGGGAATTGACAGGGTAGACAAGGATGGAGTATTTAACACGGGTGGTACACGAACAAGGGGACACAGGGGGAAGCTGAGTACCCAAATGAGTCACAGAGACATTAGAAAGAACTTTTTCAGTATCAGAGTAGTTAGTAAATGGAATGCACTAGGCAGTGATGTGGTGGAGGCTGACTCCATACACAGTTTCAAATGCAGATATGATAGAACTCGAGAAGCTCAGGAATAAGTACACCAGAAGATTGACTGTTGAGAGGCGGGACCAAAGAGGCAATGCTCAATCCCCGCAAGCACAACTAAGTGAATACAACTAGGTATGTACACACACTCGTGAAACTCCATCATGACCCAAACTTTTTAATTTTCCTGTCTGCTATTAATGCCAGAAGTTAAGATAAGATTAAGGGATTTGGCAGAAATTCCGCGGGGTGTGTACGATGCTGGACAAATTGCATTAAAATAGCTTTACAGTTCACACCTTGGTCTGCTGCAGCCTATACCTTGAATCTTTGAGAGTTCATCCCATTCTGACGCTACTGTAAATACCCATCTTACCTCATACGGGCTCACCATAGCCCGTGCTACTTGGAACTTTGTTCCAGGTAATGAATCTTTAACAACAACAACAAACCCATCTTGTACCAAAGAGGCTGTTTCGTCATTAATCAAATTTAGTCCAAAAGACAAAACTGGGGTAAGCAAAATATATCAATCCTCAAACGGGAAATTGAATAAGAGATGACAGAAGAACTTAACCAATCTAGCCTATATCAAGGGAGCTAACTTAACAAAAGCCTAGCATGACCTATCCTAGCCTAGATCAAGGGCCTAATTTAACAAAAGCCTAGCATGACCTATCCTAGCCTAGATCAGGGGAGCTAACTTAACAAAAGCCTAGCATGACCTATCCTAGCCTAGATCAGGGGAGCTAACTTAACAAAAGCCTAGCATGACCTATCCTAGCCTAGATCAGGGGAGCTAACTTAACAAAAGCCTAGCATGACCTATCCTAGCCTAGATCAAGGGCCTAATTTAACAAAAGCCTAGCATGACCTATCCTAGCCTAGATCAGGGGAGCTAACTTAACAAAAGCCTAGCATGACCTATCCTAGCCTTGGTTTGATTAGGCCGATAACAGTTTATATATTTTTGTTAAGTTCCCCCTTTTTATAATGTCACATTTTCAGCTTGTCGTTATTTTTTGTTGTGTTTTTTGGACTATATTTAATGTTACAGTTAGAAAACGGACTTGTCAATACACACAAAAAGTTGAAATTCAAACGCGGGGTTGTGTCCAGTGCCCTCTGGACATAACTGTAATTGGCTGGCCCTGGACACAACTGTAATTGGCTGGCCCTGGACACAACTGTAATTGGCTGGCCCTGGACACAACTGTAATTGGCTGGCCCTGGACACAACTGTAATTGGCTGGCCCTGGACACAACTGTAATTGGCTGGCCCTGGACACAACTGTAATTGGCTGGCCCTGGACACAACTGTAATTGGCTGGCCCTGGACACAACTGTAATTGGCTGGCCCTGGACACAACTGTAATTGGCTGGCCCTGGACACAACTGTAATTGGCTGGCCCTGGACACAACTGTAATTGGCTGGCCCTGGACACAACTGTAATTGGCTGGCCCTGGACACAACTGTAATTGGCTGGCCCTGGACACAACTGTAATTGGCTGGCCCTGGACACAACTGTAATTGGCTGGCCCTGGACACAACTGTAATTGGCTGGCCCTGGACACAACTGTAATTGGCTGGCCCTGGACACAACTGTAATTGGCTGGCCCTGGACACAACTGTAATTGGCTGGCCCTGGACATAACTGTAATTGGCTGGCCCTGGACACAACTGTAATTGGCTGGCCCTGGACACAACTGTAATTGGCTGGCCCTGGACATAACTGTAATTGGCTGGCCCTGGACACAACTGTAATTGGCTGGCCCTGGACACAACTGTAATTGGCTGGCCCTGGACACAACTGTAATTGGCTGGCCCTGGACACAACTGTAATTGGCTGGCCCTGGACACAACTGTAATTGGCTGGCCCTGGACACAACTGTAATTGGCTGGCCCTGGACACAACTGTAATTGGCTGGCCCTGGACACAACTGTAATTGGCTGGCCCTGGACACAACTGTAATTGGCTGGCCCTGGACACAACTGTAATTGGCTGGCCCTGGACACAACTGTAATTGGCTGGTCCTGGACACAACTGTAACTAGCTGGCCCTAAACAATAAACCTAGATAACAAAGTACTTGTAATAATGATATCAACGTTACTGCAAGTCCTTCCTACACCCCAACAGAAAACTCTTGTTTCCTGATACGAGGACAAACTATGAAATATATCAGCCCCATTGCTTGTCTCAAAGACAGTTCTTTACAACAACACAAATTTTCTTCAGTTTCACCTTCACCGAAAAATCTTAGAGCAGAGAGAACATGGCACTGGTGCAAATCTCTCGATTCGCCAACCCGCACAGAAAAGCTATATTGTTCAATTGATCACACATGTATCATCCTGTCTTGAATGAGAAACATTTTCAATGTCTCGAACTGCATCTTGACCCAGCATTATGCCCACTATAATTCTACATGCTGGCATTATCATCTTCACACCAACCGTGAGAGTGAAAATACAATTGCAGTGATTAGCACGGGCCTATTTATCACTCTCTCTCTCGCGGAACCTCTTTTGGAACCCCCCCGGTGACCTCTCGCGGAAGCCCTCTACAGTGACGTCTGGCGCTGCTCTACAGCATATAGTATATAGCAGCTCTCCAACTCTTTGTGGTAGAGCTGCTGAAAATGCACATATGGTATGTAGCACTGTAGCTGTGACTGATGGCTAAGTTACAGTAAAAAATCTACGCGAAATAACCTGTAACATGCCCTGACATCCTGTAACTCGCCCTTAGCATGCCCTGACAACCTGTAACTCGCCCTTAGCATGCCTTGACAACCTGTAACTCGCCCTTAGCATGCCCTGACAACCAGTAACTCGCCCTTAGCATGCCCTGTAACTCACCCTTAGCATGCCTTGACAACCTGTAACTCACCCTTAGCATGCCCTGACAACCTGTAACTTACCCTTAGCATGCCCTGTCAACCTGTAACTCGCCCCATAGAAGGAACACCAGGTCCCAGGCGAGATGGAGGAAAGCCTCGTACCTTGAAGCAGACGAAGAAGGAGAAGGGCATGGTTGCCAGGACCAGCATCCATGAGAGTGCTGTGAGGATCCAGCCACACACGCCGATCCCACTGTCATTCTCGTCAGCTGTGGGAGACACGAACGGCGGTTAGTCCAAAGGTGGCGGAGAGGGTGATGGTTAATAAGGAAGGAAATGGTAGATTTTTGGCATCGAAATGGTAGGTGGATAGTGTTTGCGGCCCCATTATTGGCGGGAAATGGAAAAGATTGTAGGCTTCGTTTTTTTTTTTTTTGAGATATATACAAGAGTTGTTACATTCTTGTACATTCTTGTTTGTTGTTGGGGAACATAGTGGTGGGGATTGTGGAGGTGTTGGAGACAATAAATGGAGATGGTGGTGTACGGGGGAAGGTGAAGTATTGGTGGAGATGAGGAAGGTGGTGACGTTGGTTGTACGGGCTGGTGCTGGAGGAAAGAGTGGCATTAGTGGTTGGCAGTGGGTACTTTAAGTGGTGGAGATAGGAGATGGGGAAGTACACAGGAAGTCCCGGTAGTGGGGGAACCGGTACCAAGGAGACAAATGTACTAGGACAAAAAATGTTTTTTTTGTTACATGGGCAAAAATATTTACATAAATAAATCACAGATTTTCACCTATAACTCATGTATTCTTTACAGCCATCTGACAGCAGATAATTCATTTAACAAGTCAAAACTTATTTTTCCAACCAACGCAATTTCTCCACATCTAAGAGGCCTGGCCATAGGAAATTTAAAGCTTGAATTAAGCCACCAATCTCCTGAAAAGTACATTAAACAGCTTAAAAAAAAAATTCATGACGCAAAAAGAAACGTCAAAATTTCTACATGCTGTGAATCAGAGGCTTGTTCACGCCCAGTGAATTCTCAACCACGTTATCGTGGCTTACTCTCTGCTTGTAAGACCCTATCCATACACAACGAGGGTAGTGCCCAAACGGCATTACCTGGCAGCATACGGCGTGGAAGCCACCTCCCCTCACGGCTCCCAGATCACATACGACAAGGCACAATATTGGGAGGTATGCAAGTGCATGCAAAGGGGGTAGAAATAGCCTAAGCTACTCTATCCCTTTGAGATGTATTTCTTTCTTATCTCAATAAACATGAACTAGCAAGTGCATGCTTACACCCGTCCTCTTGCACATTACGTCGCTCTTCGTCCCTATCCGCTACGGTCAAAAATCGACGTAATTTAAAAATGAAAATTTATTTTCCAATTAAATTTTGAAATTTTGTTTTTCTAAAACGACAAGTTAAGGGTCCTCTGGTAGGTTAGGAGGATCAGGAAGTTCTCCTAAGGTTTCAAAACGTCACGAAAACTTAATTGAAAGTTTCCTCTCCTAACCTAACCTAACCTAACCTAACCTAACCTAACCTAACAGCCTAAACCAGAGGACCCAAAACAGAAAACGGGACAGTACGTCACTTTCGAGAGCCGATTTCATTTTGAATTGCGTCGATTTTTAGCCTGAGTGGCGCATACGAGCGAAAAGCAACGTAATTTGTTAGAGGACGGGTTGATTAGGCACCCCACGCTACGAGGCGGGGGGGGGGGAGGTGGAGGACAAGAGCTAGAATCGCTCTGCGCAAGTACAACGAGGTGAGTACACACAAATACATTGTTGTAAACACCTCGCACAAACACACACACGCTAATACAAAGACAAAACACACATGCACGCGTGAAGGTAAACAAAACACACGAGGAACGCGTAAAAGAGAATAGGAGGAGAGAAAGGGTAGAAGAGAAGGAGGAATAAGAAGAAAAAAGATGAAGGGTGAAAAAAGAGAAGAATGAGACAGAAGAAAAACAAACAGAAGGACAAGAAGGAAGTATAAAGAGAAGACAGAAGAGGAGAATACTGTAAACAAGAGAAAAGGAAGAGGAACAAGAGGAGAAAAAAGAAAACAGCAGAGAACTAGGAGACCTGAGAAGTTCACTAACAAACAAGAGGAAAGTTGTAAGGCGCGAGACGCACATTCCACAACTTATAACCAAAGCCGCAAAGTTGTTGCTAATGTAGATTGACCAGGGGCCAGATTCACGAAAGCACTTACGAACCTGTACATCTTTTCTCAATCTTTGGCGGCTTTGTTTTCAATTATTAAACAGTTAATGAGCTCCGAAGCACCAGGAGGCTGTTTATAACAATAACAACAGTTGAATGAGAAGTTGTCATGCTTGTAAACTGTTTAATAAATGTAACCAAAGAAGTCAAAGATTGAGGAAAGAGGTACACGTTCGTAAGTGCTTGCGTAAGTGCTTTCGTGAATCTGGCCCCAGTAGACCTCCAATGAGGCCCAAGAACCCGTTGGTTCTTGACCAACCAGAACCCCCCACACTCCATGTAGGGACAGTCCCCTTGATCAGCTCCCTGACACAATGTCTTTCAATCTCAAAGTACATACAGCTGGCTTCTTTCTCAACTCTCAATCGGGAATCCCGGGTTCGAGTTCCCCCCGGCGGGATAGAAATGGTTGGGAAGCTTCCCTTTCACCCAATGCCTCTGTTTACCCTGCAGGAAATAGGCAGCCGGGAGTTAGGCAACTGTTATGGGGGGTTGCTTGCATCCTGGGGAGGGTCAGTAGTTCCACCTTCAGAGGTGGTGGCAATCCGAACATAAAATATAAATATACACACAGGCTTCTTGTCCCCGACAATGCGAATTATAATAAAAATGACCAAGTTACTCAAAATTAAGCCCAGAATCAGACCCCAAAACCGGTTTTGCAGATTCGGGTGATTGTAAAGATTGTAAAGTGATTGTAGATTGGAAAGCCATTTGTTGTGGAACTGTTGAGACACTATTTGGTCTTAAGCTTAAGGCTTAAAGCTGCATTTTACAGCCTGGTTGACCCAGACCGCCAATCAGGAGGCCTATTCAGTGACCGGGCCGCGGGAGGTCAATGACCCTCGAAACCAACGCAAGGTAAACTCTGGAGGATTAGATTACCACAATAACTTTTATCAAATGAACTAGCAAGTATATACTTTAGTCCTGACCGTGGTTCACGGCTTTAAGTAAACTCTCAAGTGTATATATACACACCCAGAAGCGAGGTATACCTCTTAGTATTCCTTCGAGATATTCTCCATAACCGAACATCATCTTAGAGAATCGAACGCCTTTCAATAAATCGAACTACTGCGCCAACTATGCTGTGCGTATTAGTGGCTTTAGGGGATATTGTATGTACCAGCTTTAGGGGTATTGTATGTACAAGCTCTATCTCTAAACCCAACATTATGTTTCTAACTCATCTATGTATGTACTTTTACCTGAATACAAATTTGAATTTTGAATTTGAACCACATACGTCATAGTGGATCTACAGTGTTGCAAAGGATAACGGCTCTTCGCCGTAGTCTAAATCATATGCTCTTTGAAGATAACAAAAAAAGATATGTAATGGCCAACCGCGACAATGAATAATATAACGAATTCGTACAACTGACCCAAGGGAGCACTACGATAAATAATTTAACAAAACTCTCTCCACATTCCATGCCTGTGACTACCCTTACCCGGTAACGGACGAACCCAAGCAACCTACCTAACCTATAGAGGCCGAGACATAGAACACGTCGATATTACGGTGCTTTAATTTTTTTACTAACACCACATTTTTAACGGATTGGTTGATTTCGTTTAGGTAATTCGATTTCGCGTTTGTTACGTATATTTTTTTGGGATGAAATCAACTAATCCGTTAAATTCAAACCGTTTAAACGGTGTTATTGGTCGTCTAGTTCCTCGTTCGACCACCAGGTTGCACCACATGGCCGTCCTCACATCATAATATCAATTTCAAGATGGCTGACCTATAAATCATGGGGCCAGATTCACGAAGCAGTTACGCAAGCACTTACGAACCTGTACATCTTTTCTCAATCTTTGACGGCTTTGGTTACATTTATTAAACAGTTTACAAGCATGAAAACTTCCCAATCAACTGTTGTTATTGTTATAAACAGCCTCCTGGTGCTTCGGAGCTCATTAACTGTTTAATAATTGGAAACAAAGCCGCCAAAGATTGAGAAAAGATGTACAGGTTCGTATGTGCTTTCGTGAATCTGTCCCCTGACCAGCCGCTAAAGTGCGCAGTTTAAGCTGATCTGTGATGGCAAAATACACGAATTAAGCTTTTATATTGAACTATAATCATAATAAGAATGCAAGTTTGAACGTCTTAAGCTCATCCTCGCAATTACAATATACATATATGTAGATATTGTTAGTCTTTTTGAAACTAAATCATTTATTCCAAAATAAAATACTTACAAAATGTACAGAAAATGGAAAAATAATAAATTAGAGGGGGAACAAAACTAGATTTAATATCTAACTACAAACGCGTTCTTAGGCTGTTGTGTTCGACCATACGGCGCCCGACCTAGATGCATTCAGAAATTTTAACTTCAAATTTGGTATTTTCTCATATATAAATTATTATTTTATTTTGAAAAGGATGACTATTAACGCGACGAATACCTTAAAGTAGTATTTTAAGATGTTTAATTCAGTTTCGAACACTTCATGTGTTTATCAACAGATCTAAAAAACCATGAATACAAGTTAACAAAAGATTCACAAAAACTCAGTTAATTGAATAAGATTAACCAAGCAAGGAAGCAAACTGCAAGAAGTTTAAACTTAACAATATTTTAACTTATTTCAGTGCAAAAGATATTTGATACTCACTTATATAAATATAAACAAAGGAAACTGAACTTACACGATAGGCCACTAAAAAAGAAAAAAGAACTTACTGGTTAATAATCCAAGAATATTTATTCAAAGTTACAACTACAAACTATTACGACTCTAGGGACTTATACAAAAACAAAAGAAGTATAAACTATATACCCACATTAAACATTTTAAAAATAAAAAAATAATATTACAAAAAATAATATATAACCAATGTTTATATTCAACAGTCGACAAGATTAAGAAAAATAGAATAATTATCACGCGCAAAATTAATTCACGAGAAAAAACTAGGCAAGGGGGGGGGGGACTTCGTTAACATCCAAACACAATGCAGTTGCCCAACTCCACCAACCAGACAATGACGACCC